AAACGTGTCTTTAATGATCGGCATTTGCTCGGTGTCCGGGCTGTTTGTGCTGGTGATTGTCGTGTACCTTGGCCTGAGATGCCACCCGGGTCCGGAAGTGATGTGCGGGCCTGGGAAAGCCACCGTGGTGTGCTCGAGCGAAGTGGGGAGTTGGTCCTATTCCCAGCGCCAGAGCCGGAACTTGTGTGTAGGGGAAGGCACCGCCAAGAATGACCTCATGGTTTTCAGCCCCAACTTCCCTCACTCTACCGAGAATGGGGAGAAGAAGATAGAATCCGAGTTCACACCAAATGAGAATGGAACGGTGAGTTTCTATTGTGGGATATGTATGCCTTGTTTATATTTTTCTGTAATTATGTCTTATTATTTGATGACATTTTCCCTTGGTATAGTTCTCTGAAGAGTCATAGTTCTCTGAAGAGTGATAGTTCTCTGAAGACATCCGCGTAGTGTGCAGCGGCGGTCAAAAGAGCAACCAGGATTTTAGGAATTATTAAAAAGGGGATAGAGAATAAGACGGAGAATATCTTATTGCCCTTATATAAAGCCATGGTACGCCCACATCTTGAATACTGATGTGGTCTCCTCATCTCAAAAAAAGATATACTCGCATTAGAAAAGGTTCAGAGAAGGGCAACTAAAATGATTCGGGGTTTGGAACAGGTCCCATATGAGGAGAGATTAAAGAGGCTAGGACTTTTCAGCTTGGACAAAAGGCGAAAAGGGGGGATATGATAGAGGTATATAAAATAATGAGTGATGTGGAGAAAGTAAATAGGGAAAAGTTATTTACTTGTTCCCATAATATAAGAACTAGGGGCCACCAAATGAACTTAATGGGCAGCAGGTTTAAAACAAATAAAAGGAAGTTCTTCTGCACACAGCACACAGTCAACTTGCGGAACTCCTTGCCTGAGGAGGTTGTGAAGGCTAGGACTATAACAGCGCTTAAAAGAGAACTGGAGAAATTCATGGAGGTTAAATCCGTTAATGGCTATTAGCCAGGATGGGTAAGGAATGGTGTCCCTAGCCTCTGTTTGTCAGAGGGTGGAGTTGAATGGTAGGAGAGAGATCACTTGATCATTACCTGTTAGGTTCATTCCCTCTGGTGCACCTGGCATTGGCCACTGTCGGCAGACAGGATACTGGGCTGGATGGATCTTTGGTCTGACCCAGTATGGCCATTCTTATGTTCTTGTGTTCTTATGTTGTTCCCCTCCAAATTATGTTTATTTACATATTTTTTTTGGAAAATTTTAATCAGTGGCTTAATTGTCATCAAAATAATCCTGGAAAATAAATCCAGGGCTTTATATCTCTCAAAATCTCTGTTTTAATGTTCAGTATTATAACTTTGGATATTCTTCTTCACATAATAGTGTAATCCTTCTTTGAAGACAAGTGAAACTAATTTTTTTTTTTAGTGTGTTATAGGTGATACATGTACTGGTCATGCCTATAATTAAGGTTGCCTCACATATTTCTTTTCAGTCGCTTAATATTTTCCCAAGCTTAAATATTCAGAGTGAAATTTACCATGGTGAATATCTGCATCACATGATTTTTTCTTTTTTCAAAAATTTCAGCCAAAAGTTTTTATCTGTTTCTGACAATGAGGTAAGGGGGGAAATTATATTTTGTCTAAATTAAAAAAAGTTTTTACAAGTATTTTGTCAAGCAGTTCTTACACTGCTATTCTTTGATGCAGGGGCTTGAAATTTGTATCTGGGATTTTCCTTTGGCTATCTCCATGAAAATTCACCATAATTTAGTGAAGTTTTAATTTTTTGAACAATCTCAAATAGCACATGCTCAATAGAGAGTGGTTGGAATTTGGCAGCTAAATTCTCTGAAGAGTCCATATGTACTGAGCATGCTTTATCCCCTTTCAGATTTTACATGCCAATTGGAGTACACACAACTTCCCCACAGAGTGATTAAGCATGCTCCATCCCAGGAATGCAGGGACTGCGTAGGCCTTTTCTAGTAATTCCTCCTGTTGGTGGCTGTGGAACACTGTGGTGGTGGGCACAGGAACTGAGATCAGGGAGACAGTGTATCCTGTGGTCTCAGGCAGAGTGGGGGAAAAGGATGAAACACCCTGATTAAAATGCAGAGGGGTAAAGAGGGGGATGGGAGGAAGGGATGCAGGAGTGTGTGTGAGTGGGGGTTAAGGGCCTCTGAGAGGAATGGGAGTTAGGACAGTTGCTGTGGATAGACAGGGATAGGAGCAGGGGGAGGGAGCAGAAGGCTGAGAGGAAGGAACAAAGGGAGGGAGCAGGAGCTAGGGGTACGGTTGCAACCTGCCCAGTGTTTACCAGAATTCCCCCCATCCTTTTTTGAAGTAGCTTTCCCAAAAATCTGTAAGCGTGCTTAGTCCACACTGCCGGCTGTCCAGTTTTATGGACTGAGCATCATCCTGGATGTCCCATTTTTCTGTACCTCAGAGGTAGCAACCTTAGCTAGGAGGGAGTGTGATAGGAGCAGGGAGGAGGGGAAAAGCAGGATCCATGTAGGTGATAGAAGATGATCAAGGAGGGGGGAACACAGGCAAGAGCCAGGGGAAGAAAGGAGTGAGGGGCAAGACAGGGACATAGGGGCAGGAGATGGATGATCAGGAGACAGGGATATCAATAGACAGGCTATATGAGTAGGTGCTGAGGAGAGGGGCAGAAGAGGACAGAAAGAGGCTTGAGTGGGGCCAAAGGCAGAAGGGTCTAAGTACTAGAACACACTACCCTTCAGAACCTGGAATTGAACCCAGCATTTCTTTGTTATCTAGTACGTAGCTGTGAAACCTTCTCAGCCTTCTACTACACCAGTTACTCTGTTGGTAGGGGCCTGTGTTGTGGATCTAAAGATCCTAAACCTGTGGATGACCCATTTTGGGGGTCAATATGGTTTTACATGATGAAACATTTGTATTTAAATTTTTAAGTTTTTTAAAAATCTTAAGAAATGACATTAAAAGGACCTACGTTAAAATAAAATTAAGGTAGAAATGTCAGTTATTCAAAAGTTATGAACTGTCAGAATTAAGGTTGCCCAAAGAATCTTAACTCGGCCCCCTCGTGGGTATGCATTATGGTATAGTATATAATTACATGAACTATATACACACACTATTTTCCATAGGACCCCTATCTTGTTCAGTGCACAGGACAGACTGTTCTCTAGGAATGAATCAAGGTTGTGTAGTGAATGAGTATGTTTTCTGTAGGAACCCAACCTCATTTGTTGCAGAAGCTGGAAGGTATATGGTGAATGAGGCAGAGAACTGCAGAAAGAGAAAGGATGGTTTTGTAGTTAAGGCAGTTGAATGCCACCTTAGAGAACTGGATTATGTGCATGTCTCTGCCACAGAGTTCCTCTGTGATGCTGGACAAGCTACATAAATCTAAATTTATGCAAGTGGACAATGTATATTCCTCTTTTTCTGGATACCCAACTTGATACATCTGGGCTCTGACTTGCAGAAGTACCGACCACTAACTATATCTGAAGTCTGTGGAAGCTCTGTTCCAAACATATAAAGTGCTATAAAAATGATTATGTACTCTGAAGATATGGCCATAGGCTTCTCAGATGGGCACCCAAATTAGTTGATCCTTTTAACAATTTTGGATTTCATCTCTGAGCCTCATTTCCTCATGTGTGAATGGGGATAATAATACCACCTTGCCTCACAGGGGTGTTGTAAAAATAAATTCAGTAGTGTTTGTAAAGAATTAATATACTACTATGAGAACAGGAAATTAATAATTCTGTATTCAGTGCAGGGTTTGGATGGTGTGTATTACATAATGCATGGCACCACACATTGAATGATGATGAAAAAAATAATATTGAATAGCTACCCATTCAGTATGCGCTGAATCAGGGCTCCTGAGGAAAAATAGCTTATGCACAAGGGGGCTGAATTAAGGTTGCAAGAGAAAACCTATATGTCAGTAACCCTACCGTCATTGCAAATATCTTTATTTTGCCTACTATAATTCTTGTCCCTTGTAGACTCTTGGAGCTAGATTCATTAAAGGACATAGGTGTTGTGATGCTGAGTGTCATGGTACCTAGAAAATTGCTGGGATGCACAAAGCCAGATTTAGGCATGCAAACTCCCTATACAATGAATGGGAATGGATAGGTGCCTCAGAATGGGAGCGGTGAGGGTGGAGGAGACTTGGGCCCACCCACTACTCTGGGTCCCAGCCCAGGCACCCTGTAGATGGCTGCCACTTGCTGCATCCCCTCTGACTCCTCAGTTCATTTCCCTGGGCCACTTATCATAGAATCATAGAATATCAGGGTTGGAAGGGACCTCAGGAGGTCATCTAGTCCAACCCCCTGCTCAAAGCAGGACCAATCCCCAGATAGATTTTTGGCCCAGATCCCTAAATGGCCCCCTCAAGGATTGAACTCACCACCCTGGGGTTAGTAGGCCAATGCTCAAACCACTGACCTATCCCTCCTCCCTTCCCCGCAGCGTATAGCACCTTCTTTGCCCTTACCTCAGGACTTCAGTCTGCCAGTCTTAGCAGCTAGCCAGGAGCTCTCTCTAGCTTCCTTAGTCCCTTCTGGCAGCACTGCTCTGTCCAGGGTGCTGGCACTCCTTCCTCCTGCTAGGAGCCTGATATTCCCTGCTGGAGTTCCAGACAGCTTCTGAAGCCTTTCTGCTCTGCAGCCCGTCTTATATGGGACAGCTCAGCCCTGATTGGCTGCTCCTTGCAGCCCCTCTCTCATTGTCTGCCTCCTGTGCAGCCTCCAACAATAGTTTTAAAATGTAATGCGCAGTAGCAGATTTTTAAACATATAGAATGTTTGTAAAGCCATATCTTCCTTGTCCCTTTTAAAATAATTTTCCATTTCCCCCATTGTCTTTATTGTCTATATTAAATTCATTAGTATGCTTTACATCCTTGCCTTATTCCTCTTTGAAAAGAGAAGGTATTAGAGCTGCATCATTTTATAAGAACTATTGGCTGGGGTGATATAATGTTTCTCTTTGCGTCATAAATTCAGAGCCATATCCTGGGGCACAGTGTTGTATTTAAAAAAGAACAGGAGTACTTGTGGCACCTTAGAGCCACAAGTACTCCTGTTCTTTTTGCGGATACAGACTAACACGGCTGCTACTCTGAAACCTGTTGTATTTAAGTAATTCAATTCAACCCTGTCAAAGGCTTTTTCTCATATCTAATGATAGGAGAATCTGAGCGTTCTTTTGGATCTGGACTGAATATAGTATTTTTAGTTCCCATCTTGTATTTGTTAGGTATATCTATATTTCATAAAGCCTGTTTGGTCTTTATTAATATAGCTTGGTGATACCGGAAGTGGTGTACTCTACAGTGCCTTAGCCATAATCCTTACATGTGAACTTAGTAAATAAATTGATTTGTATAATTAACTTTAATTAAAATCCAATTCAGGTTTGGGAATGACTTCTGCACAGAGGTTTATATTTCTTTCTCTCTGAATATTGTGTAACACCCATCTGTGAGACGCCTATCCAATTTTCTTTTAGAGCTTTATAATATTTTATAATTAACCTGTCTTGAGCTAGGGCTTTACCATTTTCATACTATCAATGGCTGTTAAGATGTCTTCTTCTGTGTTAGATTGTTCAAACATATTTACATCTAAAAACTGAAATATGGAGTATCATTTTGTTTATCTAAAGTGCATTTTCTCTTAATAATGGATAATCTATTATGTGCATTTCTATGATAAGTTGAAAATGCATCATGTAGTTCTTTGGGATGGGTAACCATTTCTCCATGGCATTTCTAACTATTGGGATGACACAGTTAGTTTACATTACTTTTAATTTTCAGACCAATAGTTTGCTTTGCCTTTGCTTATTTGTTTTTGTTTTTTGTTATTGTTGATTTTTTTTTACTGGAGGTTTATTTCTCTGGTTTCAATTATAGTCTGGCTTAGTCTATTTATTTTGAATTTCAGAGGGTCCAATTAATAAAGCAACCTCTCACGACTGTTTTAAATAGGTCCCAGATATCTTATATTTACCCTGATGTGTATGTATGATATCTTTGTAACCCTTCTGCCCGTCTGAGTTGGCAGCAACAAGGGCCGGGCTCAGTATCTAGGGGTTCTGTTTCAATAACACAATGCAAAACCAGCTTGAACCCCCACCCAGTGACCTGGCACAATTACATACCACCCCCTGGGCGCCTCTAAGAGGCAATACTTCCCCTCTCGAAAGCAGAGTCTGAGTGTAGCAAAATCCTTTTAATAAAGGAGGGAAACAATGCGGCATTATGTTGGGGGAAACACCACGAACAGGATTCATAATACAAACCATGAGCAAAAGACCCACCCCCACAAGTAAGTTTGGCAGTATCCTTTTCCCCTCAGGGTCTTAAGTTCAGCAACCCAAAAAATCACCCAAAGTCCCAAAAGTCCAACACCCCAAAAGTCTCTTGAGTCCAGGAACCCAAAAATCACCCAAAAGTCCAACAACCAAAAAGTCTCTCTCCCTGGTCAGTGCAGCCCCAGAGTTCAAGTTTATCTACAGAGTTTTACCTCCCAGCCTGGTGGGGGGGGGGGGGAAGAGGCACAGTGCTGTTAAGGGGCACCTTATGTGGTCCAAGGCCAATTGCCCCGCCTCTCCATGGGGTTCTGCTGCAGCCTTCACCGTGAGCCACTCCACCAGCCACTCCACCAGCTGTCCCGTGAGCTGCTCCAGCTGTCCCGCAAGCTGCTCCAGTTGTCCCGCAAACTGCTCTGCTCCACCAGCTGCTCAGGAACATATTTTCAGACCCCCCCCACACTCAGTGATTTCAGCTTGTAGTAGGGGAGCCTCAGTGCTGGTGCACCATTGGCCCAAAGTGAATTCAGCTCAGCAGCCTGTAACTAGACTCCTAATAGAATTAAAATGAGCTCTAATATTATACAGTAGAGAGAAGAAGGTGCAATTGGTATTTCAGACTCTCAAAAGGGGCCCATGGCATCAGGTACAAATACCTATCCCCAGCCTCTCTTAATTCACTGGGTTTTGGAACCCATTTCCCTTGTCTAGCAAGTGCTACTCAGTTGATGGCGAGTCCCTCTATCATAAAACAGTTTCATTGTCCTTGATTCACATAATCAGGGTAACAACACTTTATTCTTCCTGCCCCAATAACAGAGAAACTGGGGATCCCACAGCAGCCAAAGTGACCATTTGGGCTCATGCTAGGTGGGGTGGGTGTGCCTATGCAAACAAGATCAGCCCCTGAATTTCTTTTCCACAACTCGCCACAATTCACCACCAAATGTCAGGGTAGAGCTCATCCTGACTCTGCTTACATCTTCATCCACATTTTTGAAATATTGAATAATATGATTTTAAAATTATTTACTTGGTCTGGATCTTGTCATAGGAGACAACTCAAACTCCTGGTTTTCTTAGAGAGCTTTTTGTCCCTCAAGTTAAATGTCAGTTCAACTGGAGTATGGTTTGACTATGTAATATTATGTATGTCTGCATGCATAGTCTGCAGGAAGATGGTGTTAGCAATAAGAATTAACCAGAATCAAAATCTATCCTGAATAAAGGTTATATGGGTGAAAAAAAATAAGAAATCTTATTCATATGAGACTTCAAATATATTTCAATCCCTTTGTCCCTATGTTTAAAAAGACAATGTCCTAGATTTGTATCTTTCCTTTGCTTCAATATATAGATATAATTTCCTTATAAAATTATTTCTTCTTCTTGGATAGAGTCTAAAGTCCTATATTAATCATTGAAACACTGTTTTTTATTTGAGTTAGGGGCATAGATTGATCTTCTTGTAACTCTCCTGCCATTTAAATCTCCTTTGAGAATAATAAATTTACCATTAGGTATCTATAATTTGGTCTATTATTTTAAATCTAGTGTATTTGGATAAAGGAATAGCTATTCTTCTTCAACTCTGGCAGAGGCATAATAGTTTTGTCCCAAATATATTCCCTTTAAGCCACTCTCCCATCTCTCATTAAAATGTGTTTCTTGTATGCAGAAAATATCGGATAGAGTTTTCCTTAGTTCTATAGTGACCTTGTATCCTTTAACCACATAATTTAGCCTATAACATATATCCAGGCAGGTTTAATAAGAGCTAATTATTACAGTAAAATCTAATTGATTACAAGGTACACCACTTTGGACATTATAATCATTTTTGGAAATTGTATTCTAATCCATCAGAAGTAGCTATACTTTCCTGAATTCTTTTGAGTAGATTTAAAACAAAACAATGTGCTTTCTTAAACAATCAAAATCCCAGTATATTTATCTGATCAGTTCTTAATGTGACCTTATACCCCACTTCTGTTAAACTGTCTTTGGACTATATCATAAGAGGAAAAAGTTTTAGTGGTGCAATAAAATAAATATTCAGAATAAACAGTAATATTTTACCCATCATTCTCTATCTTATCCTTCCCTTATATTGAACTACTTCTGTGGTGCATCTATTTGTTGTTCAGATTTTGGTGTTGACCTTTACACATTTTCCTTTTAACGGAAATTGTAGGGGAATGCAAAGCTTTCCACATATCCTCTGTATCATCTAATTTAACTTTATGTCATATCTAAATAATAATGACATCTTTGCTTCAACAGTTACCAAGAGAGGGCAACAAGGAAGACAAAGTATAAGATTTTATATGTATAGGAAAAACAGCTTTATATTTAATTAGCTGTTGATAAGAGCATGAAGAATTGAAGGAAAAAGTTACTAATATTAAAACCACAGTGTCCAACTATGGACTTTGAGGTGTTGTTGATTTTCAATGTGAAAATAAAAGTGGGAGTACATGGGATAAAAATAGGTTGTGATGATGTTGAGGAGACGAAAACTTTCCACATCTGATTTGAGCACCAATAGAGAAAAAATAATGACAAATGTTTGAATGATTCTGTCAACAACCAATAGCTGACTTCCTCTCTGATTTTGACTAGGATACATTGCTTTGGTGTGCTATTTTTCCTGCTTTATATTCACTATATATTTCTTCTAATCTGCCTATAATGCATTTTTATTTCTTTACTTTTTGATTATTGTCCTACATGGAATACTTCAGTGTGTATCTCATATACAAGGCAAAACTGAAAGCATCTGGAAGATTTTGGTTAGATAAAATATAATCTAACTGTATATTTTTAAAAAAATATTTTTTACATTTGACAATTTTCTTAATAGTTTTATTATAATTTAATCTGAAAATTACAAATATTTGAATTTTGAAATTTAAATTACATGAAATTTTAATTTTTATATAAATTTATTTTTTAAAAAACATTATAAACACTTCAAAATTTTACATAATGTGAGAATTTCCATTATTCAGCCAAATCCTGAATGCCTTTCTCCGGAAAAAAAAATCCAAAGAAGCCAAAAGAAGTGAAGTCAATGGAAGGTTTGCTTGGTTAAGGAGTACATGATCTTCCCCATTTCCTTCAGTGAAAGTTCTCATCTGGGAAATGGATCTATGCCCAAAGTTTTCTGACATGGCAGTCAAATCTTTGGGAAAGTCATAAATCAAGGAGAAAATAGATCCTGAGTGACACAGTCATATAGCATGGCTTTCAACTCCTAATAATCCAGAAAGAAATCATGATTTTAGCAATTACTTTATGCTTAGGTATACTGTTCAAGAATCGGGTTTGGTTGTCAAAACTTGCATCTTTTAAATATTTGGATGAGTTATTCAAACATGATGTGTTATTCCCCCAAAAATGTAGAGAATTATTTGTTTATTGAAAAATAAAAATAAATTCTACATTAGTGGGTTTAGTTGCTATAACTTTTGATGTGGTCTTGTTGAATTTGCAATTAACGGCCACATGCCTGATCATGCGAGGGACCAAATGCTCTGAGTTCCAATTCTACATCACTGGACGGAGCCCATAACAGAATAGACACAGAAAATGAGGTTGTATGACAAGCAATGCTCCATATTTTTATCAAATGAAATCTGCTATTCCAAGTTGGTTCTCTTTCTAATACATTAGTAAGTAGCACAGTAAATATGTGCAGTGTTTTTTTATTGACAGAGGCAGTAGCCTGGAAGAAGAGACTGTTTGGCAGCAGTCACTGGACTGGGTAATCTTAGGGACAGGGGTTGTCTTTTTCTTCTGTGTTTGTACATCACCTAGAACAACAGGGTCTTGGTCAAACATTGGTGCTCCTAAGCACAACAACAACAAACACAGACTGCCCAATATCAAATCGGATTATAATTCAAACCCACTTTACCTTAATTTATCATATTTCTGTCTATGATTTGTCTATTAGATATTACGTAATTACCCGTGGAAAAGTTTGGTATGAATAAAATAACTAGTGTAGGTTACTTCAGAAAAGCACAGTTCGGTGGTCCTGGTGGATCAGTTAAAAT